TGTGGCCCCGCGGGCTTGGGGCCCGGCCGGTCTCGTGCTCCTTGCTGGGGGCTAGTGGGGGCAGCCGGTTCCTCTCCAGTGTCAGGTGCACCTGCTCCCAGCCCTGGGGCTTCACTGCTGCCCTTCACAGGGGTCCTGGGGCACATGGACCCTGCGAGTCTCTGAGAGAGGGCGGGAGACAGCTCTCCGCAGGGTCCTGATGCCTGACCCACCATCGGATCATGGGTAAGACCTGCTCAGAAAGGTCCTCAGCTGGGACTGAGCCTGTCCCACGGGGATGCCTGGCCCAGCCAGTATTGGTTCCCCAGGACTCAGAGGAGACAGCCTGACAGCTGCAGAAGGGAAGGGCCGGGCTGAGGGCAGCAGGTAGATGGGACAGCGTGGAAACTGCAGGTGTATGCTCATCCCGCTGGGCGCCTGATCAGGGCCCACGTGGACGGCGTGAATCCGCCTTGCTGGAGTGGGTCTGTCAGCACCTGGGCCTTCCACCTGCTGACGGTCACCATGGCGACCACAAGCTGGAGCAGCCTATCAGCGGGCCCTGGGAGGGCCGCGGGCTGCCCCTGCAGGTGCACACACGAGCAGGCAGCCAGCTAAAGGCCCCGCACGGTCTCTCCTGGATGCACAGCCCAGACGCCACCCTCGGCACCTGTCCCATCTGCAGCCAGGTGGCTCTGTGGGCACACGTACGTGGTACGCAGAGCTGAGGAGACACCCAGGCAGGACCCTGACCATACCCAGGGAGGTGATGGCACAACAGGACTCGAGCCTGGCTCAATGGGCCACCCCCAGCCACTGAGGGTGTAGTGTTAGAGGCGGCCTCTCCTGGGCCTGGCAGAGGAGCAGCACTGAGCCCGTGGTGGGGACAGCATCTGGTCCATGTGGGCTCCCCACCCCTGCCCAAGAAGACAGGACGCAGCAGGGAAAGGACACAGCTGGAGGCCGCAGTCTGTGGAAATGCTTTAATTCGAGGGTTCTTAGATACAGTGGTTACCCCACAGCCCACACCCCCAGCCGAGGTGCCTGTGTCAGACAGGGCGATCACGTGTCAGTTTAGGTTACAAGTCACACCCGTCAGGCCCAGACTGCGGTACAAAGACAGCTGTTTAGTTCAGGTCACTGCCGTCTGCTAGAAACGACTGCTGCAGAGCGCTCTACCTAGAAAGTACACCGTCTCCCTACGCAGCAATGCGCACACTGCCCAGCGCCCAGTGCAGCTCGGTCTGTACAGAACAGGACGTGTAGGAGTGGGCTGCAGAAGTGCCCGTGGGCTCCAGGTGTGGCCCCGCAGGACACGCAGCTAACAGGCGACCAAGGCACTCAACGCCAGCCCTGGGGCGGTGCACGTCGCTCGGCCCGTGGATTCCTGGCTCGCGGTGCTGGAAGCCAAGCCGACTTGGGGGGTGCTGGACGCCTTCCTCCTGGGGCCCATCTCAGTCCTCTGGACATCCTGACCAAGCACCAAGCCGGCCTTCAGTCTGTGCACTTGACCCGCAGACCAGTTCCAACGGTGAGGTCCTCTGGGTGACAGGGCTGGCTCCAGGCCTCCGGCCTCAAGACCACGCCTTGCCCATACTGTGTGCCCGGGACCCGGAGGCCAGGTGCACCCAGCCAATGTCCAAGCACGGGCACCCTGAGCCCTGTCCAGAGTCTTCCTCTTGGGCTGAGACTACACCTGCTTCGCGACAGAGCAGCTCAGCCAGCTCTGGGGAGCTGAGAGGACTCGCTGGCCACCACAGCCATGTGCAGGTTCAAGGCCACTTCAGAAGTGCAGCCTCCACAGACCGTGCTCAGACAGGGACAGAGCGTGTGCAGACAGGGGCACCGGGGAATCGGTGCTAAGGTGACACCCAGGCCAACAGCACTTCAGGCCACTCAGGGCAGGGGCCGCAGGCTCTGGGTGCTTAAGGGCAGCTATAGGAAGCGCTGACCGTTCTCCAGGGGTGGCGGCAAGGCTGCCTCCTCCAGAGCGCAGGGACGGGCGTGCAGAGGCCTGAGCACAGCCACAGGCCCAGGCAGCATGCAGTGTTGTCCTCAGCGGGTCCGCAGCGCGTGGATAGGGGAGGGCTGCTGCTGTGGCCTGGCCTGGCCGTCAGAGGCCATTGACGAGGGCACAACCCAGCTAGCAAGCCACGGGCCTCCTGGGCTCTGCTGTCTGGACCTGGCCACCGCGTCGTCCCTGGAGACCTGAGGGGCCACACATGCCCACTTCTGACCAGCAGGCTGTATGAAGTCTCGACGCCGATTCCACCTTCACCAGACCTGAACGCCGCCTTGCACTCCGCAGCTGATCTGGGGGGGTGGGGACACGGGAACCTCGGACACACACGCTTGTCACATCCTATTTACAAAGAACAGGGACGGGAAGGAGCCACACAGGGCCTGGAGGTGGCCACTGAACGCCTGCAGCCAGCCCGGGCCCTGGGTGGGGCCTCCTCACACTGTTTAATGATGATAATGCAACAGAACCTTTATATAAACAGTTTATTTACTCTAAACAGCAACACAGACAGAACCCATAGGACAGAGGAAGTGAGCAGAGTCGAGAAGCCGGCGCTCTAGGGCTCAGGCTCAGGCACGACACAGCCCAGACGGAGCCAGGCCTGTCGCCTCAGCCAGCAGGAGGCCGAGGACAGCGCTACCGTGAAGCCTGCCCCGAGCACGAGGAAGCAAGCTCCTGGGGCGTATCCGAGTATAAAAGTTTACCGTTTTACAGCAGTTGAAATACTGACATCAATATTAAAATAAAAGCAAGTTTTACATAACCATCAAAATACAAAAGACCGAAGGAAGAGACCCTGTATGAAAAACGGGGCAACTCAGCGAGCCGAGAACTGTACACCAGCGGCGGAGCGGAGGTGGCGCCCGCCCGCCCCCGGGGCCTAGCAACTGCACGGCGACTCGATCTGCAAAGGCTGTAAACGAGTTCCTGCCAAACCAACCCCTTCCTTTCCGCTGCCACGACGTCCTGCTTACGAGGGCGCGAACTTCTTGGCTTGTGCTCGGACCCGCTTCTCGTACTCCACTCTGTTCTGGCTGAGGAGGTCAGAGCAGACAGGTTAGAAGGGCCTCCACCTGCCGCACGCTGGGCCGGGGCCAGGCCAGACAGCTGCCTGCGGAGCAGCCTGTGCCCAGGAGCCACTTCGGGACGTGGCTGGAGCAAGGCAGGGCC